TAAAAGGTTGTTATTAACTTTAACCTGTGCTGTCTCTGTGCTGTCATGGGCTCTAAATCTGAAAATCCTCAAATAAGCTGTTGCTACGTAGAAAGTCACACAACTGTTTGGCGACTACTTTCTCCAGTCTATAAGGACCCCGGTTTGCTCAGTGGGTAGAGCTGGCGACCCATGTACCGAGGCTGAGTCCTTGTTGTAGCGGCCCAGGGTTCGAATCTGGCCTACGGCCCCTTGCTGAATGTCACTGCCCCTCTCTCTGCCCTCCTGTCTTGTCTATCTTCAGCTGTCACTATCATAAAGGCAATAAAAAGCCCCAAAGAGTCAAGAGTGGGCTTTTTAAGAAGGGGTTTAATTACGGCTACTTTAAAGGACTGTGGTACATATCCTCCAGTAAAGAAGTGCCAATTAAGGGTAAGACTTCTTTAAGCAGCCTATTTGGGATGGGGTCTAACAGACAGGTTGATGGCTTCAGTGTAGAAATTACTGAAGTTAGTTGATTCAGCTCGATAGCAGAAAAACAGTCTAAATATATATCTGATTTTACATTTGCTAAACTTCCTGAAGTTAGAGAGATAACGATACCTGTTGAGGGTTAGTTAGTTTGGAAGGGCGCTATTTCCTTTCAGATTTCCCCACTTTTTGCTTTAATTGGCGGGTTTGGTGGTTGTACCACGGTGCTAGTCTCCTATGTTTTAATATTTTCCTTTTTATAGGGGCAATAGAATCTAGTGTTGTTCGCAGTGAGCCTGCAGCACTATTAACGAGATTATCAATTTGGGAAGGACTAAAGTTATTATAGGAGTCCTCTGTTACATTCAGACTTGAATTAAACACTGATGGAATCTCCTCCTTAAATTTAGCTACAGCACTGTTAGATAGGCATCTGCTGTATGAAGTTTTGCCTAATGGCTTATAATCTAGTAATATGAATTTAAAAGTTATTAAATAATGGTCAGATAGAAAAGGATTTTGTGGGAAGACAAATAAATGTTTAATATCAATGCCATACGATAAAACAGGGTCAAGATTGTGATTAAAACAATGAGTGGGTTTATCAACAGCTCTCATCCCAGTAATTTACTCCAAAAACATTTCTTTAAACCTGACCTAAATAGAAGCCCATTTCTTGTTCAGTTTTTATTACCCTTATCTCCTTTGATTTTCAACTTTCCCTTTACCCCGACATAAGCACCATAAAGATAGAAGATAATATCTATCCTCCACTTATCTCTGATCAAAGAACAAATGCTCTTTGTCTTGCTGGTTCTGATTTTAATGACTAGAAGTGGAGAAGAAACATCACAATTTTTGGCATTTGGAACAGGTAAAAAATGTTTCAACATTTTTTAAAAGATATACCATCAACAGTCTTTAATAGCTCAAACGTTAAATTTAAAATTAAATGATTTAGAGTAGACAGACAGCATGATTTGGGCTCTGATGCTAGACCAAAGACCAAGAATTCTCACAGAAGAGACTTGATGTTGCAGTCATGCGGCTATGCTACAATCAGAAGTTCAGACTATTCCTTTTTTCTTTAACACTGTTGTTGAACCCTGTAAAGAACTTTTCAATATGACTTACTTCTGTATCAAACAGCAGCAGATAAAGTTATATCTTTTGAAGCAAAGAAACAAAGTGGTCAAACACAGAGTTGCAAAATATACACATTTTGGAAATAAAATAATGTAATTCCAAGGCTTTTACAGCTTTTTTCTTAAATGAAACATAAGATTTATGTATCAAACGTGAAATGTGTTATTGCCCATAAGGTGGTACAATTATTTTTACTGTGGTTGCAACTTTAAAGCAAAGAACACTCTATAATAAGGGTAAAACATCATATACTTAAGTTATACATTATCACTTAAGGAACGTTAATTTACAGTTACTTCATACATTAATTGATAAAAGACCAATTAGATGATTTCATCTTAAATAATGGTTGTTGTTTTTTTCAGGTCCATCTGCCTCTCTCATTAAAAAAACAGCTTTGTATTTTTATGAGAATAAATAAAATGTATTTTTAACTCATTTACAACACAATGGACGAATTAGAGGAGTGAACAAATTAGGTGAAATAAATACATGAAATAACATTGTATGCAACTGGAAACCTGCTAATTTGGTTGCATATTAATTAAGGTCTGAATAAAGTGTGAACTAATCACAAAAAGACACTTGATTATTTGTTGGTGAGCAACAGGAAGTCATGATACATCCTGCATCGTGTAAATTAGTCATGCATTAGTCAAGAATTACTTAACGGACCAGTGTAGGATTTAGTGGCATCTGGCAGTAAGTCTGGGCTACTGTAGAAACATGACATTAACAAGCAGTTACATATAAAAGCATTACTCAACCAGACTTTACTGGGTAACTTACAAAACAAAAACTGCAGCTTTAAAGGTCCAGTATGTATGATTTCGTGCCATCTAGCAGTGTAGTTGCAGATCACAACTCCTTCGTTTCATCCAACCCTTCCAAGTGCGAAGGAGAAACTACAGTAGATTGAGACCATAACCTCTAGACTCAATACTATCACGTCTTTTCCTTGCAGCCAATGGAGCTGCCCCATTATTTGGACCTTCACTGATCATTTCCCTTTCTTCTTTTTCTGAAATATTTCAGTGTCTCTTCAACTCCAGCCATGCTCTCCTTTTCAACCCCACCCCTTCTCTACCTGAGTCTCCTCCTCTTTCTGTCGTATCACTCCCCTGTTCTCTCCTGTCGGACTGGGACCCGCAGTCAGTGTCAGTCCGCTCCCTTTGTACCAGGCCACAACCTGGTGGGGGAGGGCTTTGATGTGGTCACCCTGCAGCATAAAGGAGCCTACATGGTTGATGTGAGGACTTATCTCACCCCAGAAGGCACCTGTACTCTCTGCTCGAATTCTCTTCAAGGCAAACAGCTGCAGAAAGTAATTAATAGATAAACAATAATTCTCCATTGATTTTTTGTATATTGACATACTTTATGTGTCCATGTTAACCACAGTGTTACCAATTTGATTTTTAGCTGCCGCTCTCTGCAGTGAACTGGCGTGCGTTCAACCGATGCAGTCTCGACATCTACAGCAGTGTACACACCTCTGTTAGGTATTAAGTAACAGCAATATATCTCTGAATGGGTTATATCAGCCATTTTCATATGTTAAGTATATGCCATTCCAGTGCCTCAATGGTAAATACTTGTGGCATTCTTTACCAACAATCAAAGCAATCCTTGCTGATTTTTCAAGAAGTTAAGTTTAAATGTTGTTGTATCTGTTAATCATGCAAGAACATATGATTTCATTTTAGACAGCTCAACTCTCAGCACTATCTTTGGCTCCTCACTTTCAGTTTACCATTTACTGTCTACAGATCAGATTAAGTCCAAAGGTTTTGTCTGATTCGTAACTTGTGCAAATTTTACAGACAGCCTGAAATGTACTAAAAGACACAATATTACGTTAACAGACTCTAAAGTAGCTGCAACATAACCTCTGAAATGAAAAAAGCCTTAAGGGTTATTCTTCTTGTAAATTGTGTCCACAGCTCGTTGATTGAAAGTTACACCTCCCAGGAAAGTAACGACTGGAAGGTAGGAAACATCTCACAGCTATTGCTGACATGAACTGAACATTTCAGAGTCTTATATTATTATAACTGGCAGGTGCAGACATACACATATTCACATGTAGACATACGATTCTTCCACTTATTTCACCAATGGAGTCCCCACCATCGTCCTGAATTTGTTTTGGAGCAACTAACACAAAAGTTCTGATCACAGGTCGGATATGATTAAATTTTGGAGCATCTGGATGCTTAAATAATATACACTTATATGAGTTTTATGGCCCACTAATACTTGAATCTATTTACCTTAATCGGTTTCCCTGACTAAAGATTTTCCTTTTCGACTAGTTCTTGTTCAAACCATTAGTTGATGATGACATGATATTCATTATTTAAATATATAATTTCTTAACAGAAGCCTGGTAAATGCTAACGGAAAAAGTGGTAATTATTCTGAATGTGATGAAAAGAATTGAACAGAGCAAACAAAACTGGAATCAAAGTCCTGGTCGGTTTAACATCTTTTAAGTCACCTGACCTCAATGGTACTCATTCTGGCTCCGCTCCTATGCTAGTACTGCAAACAAACCTCCACTGGTACTTAGAGCTCAAAGTCTACAGCTAGCTCATGTAGCAGAGCACCGCAAAGACACTTCCTGTGTTACAAGAATAAAGGTTCGTGTTGCACCAATCCCCTGATGCCTTCGTCGTGGTGATAAAGCACAGCTCCCAAACAGAGTGTGACATTGGCGACTATCCAACTAATGAAAAGTGGGCAGACTAAGACTCTTCTTGTCGACTAACAGTTGTCTCAGCCCTAAGGCTACCAGAACAAGTATGAATGTTTATATGAATAAATGGTTGTATTTAATACACTATATAATGGTGATATTGGCTGAATGGCAAGCTCCAGAGTTTTTATTATTTATTGATCAGATTGGCCTAAATTTAGAGAAGTATGTATCAGCTGGGCTGGAGGTGGGAGGAATACGCTCCACTGCCTATAAGTTTGCTTCAGAGAGGACCAGAGAGGACCGCCACACCTTCAGCACTCACAGACTCACCTGCAGCCATTATCGGTAGGGTGTGAAGATCCCTGCAGCACTGCAGAAGATTTTTCATTTAAGTTTGTTTAGATAATTTCTGTTAAGATAATTAACTATTCTGTCTCTTTGTGTCTAGTTACCGTGTGTCAAGAAAACCGCCCCTCAGCTCTGAGTTTAGTAAGGATGTTGCCAGCCTGCCAAGTCTCTACAACGACTCCACCAGGGCTCAGTACAGTGAGCTCATACATACCTATGGCACACACTACATCCGCCAGGTTAAAACGCATACACACACACACACACACACACACACGTACACACCTTAATATCCTTTAACAAATAGAAAACTACATATTTTTTCTGTCTCAACAACATTGTTCTTTGTTTTCAGGTTTATCTTGGGGGGCGTCTCAGGCGGGTCACAGCTGCACGTACTTGTCTGTCCACACTGAATGGGCTCACCTCAAGTGAGGTACATGTAACACAACAAGGTCACGTGAGCCCTCCACCACCCACATTTTTCTTGGTGTGCAGGTCTTTGCCACTATATATGAATGTGTCTGATGCACCATTCACTGCTCTCAGCATAAAGGCACTATTTAAATGGTCTGCATTGTCCATTGACTATGAATGACATCTTATTTCCTCTCCTGTCTTCTAGGTCCACAACTGCTTATCACTTGGTGTCTCTGTAGGCCTGGGGATGTTGAGTTTATCTGGAAGCCAACAGTCTTGCAACAAAGTCCTACAGAACCAGGATCTCACCACCTCGTACAGCTCTGGTCTCTACCAACACTACACAGCGTTGATAGGAGGCACTGGTTGGTTGGGGGAGTTTTCGCTCACTCACAATGACTCCATGGACTACAGGAAATGGCTGAATACCCTTAAGGACCACCCAGATATTGTTTCATACTCCCTTAGGCCAATGTATAGACTGGTGCCCAATGGGAAGAAGAAGGCAGGTGTGAAGGCTGCCATAGAGCAATACTTAGAAGACAATGCCATGAAGAAGTCACCCAAAGAACCAGGTTGTGGGTCCAACTGCTGTCCTAAAGAGGCCTCGAGGGGAACACTGGTGGTGATCATCATCAGAGGCTGGAATCTGAAAGGAGACTTAATTGACCCAACGGACAGGTGAGTAAAATGAGGCCAAGAATTGAGATCTAAAGGTGGTCTACCAAACAACAATAGTAATTCAGTTGCTTTTCCTTGTTTTCTGCTATTCACAGCTATGCTCAGATGTGGTACGGTCCCCACCATCGCAGGACTCATATGATCCACTCAAACGACCCCTGGTGGAACTCCCATTTTAATCTGGGCATGGTCAGTTAATCTTGTCATTACAAGTCAGCTAAAAAAAACCTCTGATCCCATTTTTCAACCTGCAAGTAAGTTTAGGGCTGATATACTTCTTGTGCCGTAGACTAGAGATACTATGTCTACTTGGCCAGTTAACATAAATTACAAAGAAATGTGTGCAAATACCAACAATCCTTGCCACCATGTGAAAAAAAAACTTTCCTATGAAAACGAAACATCTTAAAACTAGGGCTGTCAAACGATTAAAAATTTTAATCTAATTAATCACAAGGTTTCTTGAATTAATTTCGATTAATCACAATTAATTCACATTGTCTGTGTACTGTTCTCAGAACAGAAAGATAAATGACAAGATGCGGATATTACATTTGTTTTTTAATTAAAAAATTAAGATGATACTTAAGGCTCGAGGTGCTTTGGTGAAACGAAAACTCCTTCGTGTAGTGTGAGCAAACCACAACATGTTTGTTTACTGTTTTATACTCGAACTGTCCATCCTGAGGGCCAACGGGTTCTTCGGACTCCTCCATCTCGCTCGTGTCAGCTATGCTCTTTACGCGACGAGGAATGAACGTGGCGGGGGTTGAATTGTGGGTAAAACAGGGCGGGAATGCGTTAAAAAAAATATCACCGTTAATTCCAGAAATTATTCATCGCGTTAACACGTTAATTTTGACAGCCCAACTTAAAACCAATAATGATATCAACTGACCGAGGCCCCAAGAACAGTGCTAAGCTATGAGATGATTTTGATTTAGAGGCCACACTAGCATCTTCTGGAATCATCACATGACACACAAACAGCCCAAAAGTTTATGAAAAGGTGCACCCAAAAATGACTACATTTGGAAAGTCTAGAAAAATCTAGAAAATTATTATATCCCATTTAACATGTCATGAACCATTGTTCTCTTTACTTATAGAACTCAACATTTAAATGATAATAAGATTTTTAATGTTGTCATATTTAAAAATTCTTTTTATGAAGGTGGACACACATTTGGGTTTGACGATTCAGGCCTGGGACAAAGACTTGAAGTATGACGACCTTCTGGGATCATGTGTGAGGCACCTTAGCCAGGGGACACACAGATTCACCTGTCCGGCCAAGAATGGCGGCTTTGAGGTCCAGTACACTCTGACCTGCGACTCTCATCTGACTGGAGACAGGTGCGAGCGTTACAAACCAACTCCATAGTGAGAAATGCATTTTGAGGCCACACTAGTCACAAATGCTGCTTGCTTTTCTTTGAAATCAAACTGAAATCACATATACTAATCCCTTTTTGTAGTCAAAATTAATGTCGACATGTTATTTTAAATGGATTGCTAATAGTTTTTTTTTAAACTTTATTATTAAAAGAAGAAAGAAATGTAATTGGGGAAATTTCAGAAATGCTCCTTTTTGTCTCAGCTAGCTGAAGCGGTTGTGTCCATGTGTGAGTTTGACTGACAGGAGCTGGCAGGCTACCAGAGTGCCGGTGTTACACAGTAGAGAACCAGATACAAAGTCAACAAACCTACAAAGCCTACATGTCATGGGCAGTCAGCTTGTTTCTAGTGGTATTGAAGGACCAGACCTACATCTTATAGGGGGATGTAACAGTCATTGCAGGGGGGAAATAAGTTGAATGAATATGATATATGTAGGAGAAAAAAAAAAACATGACTTGATACTGTCATACTGACCGAATTAAAATTAAACTTGGATCCTTTTTTATTGAGTGCTTGCCCTCTCATTGTTAATAATTGATGAATATTGTAGGGTGGGAATTTTTGCAGTTATCCAGGTTTGTTTACATGCTGTTTATTGCAGCATTATCAGTTTCTGGTGAATGTTTGTTTAGCAGCTTTTGTGTCCACATAAATGTCAGGTAAATTCCCAGACTCACTTTATAGAGAAATTATCATTTTGTTTGGTTTTCAGCTGATTGTAATTCAGTCATACAAATTTAGTCCTGTGAGCACAAACAGTTTGATGTAAACATAAATAACAACCAACTGCTGTGTACTCAATTTACAAGTAGTGGATTTTGGTTGTTGGTCGGTTTTCATTTGGACTGCAGATTATATAGCTGGTGATTTTAAGAACTTAAAAAATTAAAGTAAACATTGTGAAAGAATTGTGTTTTGTAATATGTATCTGATGTCTCAAGACCTTGTAAATACTGCAAACAACATCAAAAACCCACACAACAACAAATGGATGGATTATGTTGACATGTTATGGCACTTCCTGCAACAAGATGTACAGTATACAGGTAACATCTGACAGAGATGAACTGTATGTTTGAGCCAGTGAGCTTTTGGTAACATAAACCGACATTACAGAGCAGCACCAAGTTCAGTCCAAAATATAGTCAAATCTGTTTGTGCTAATTAAACAATGGGCATCAATAAACCTGAACAATGAGACCAGATTGTGCACTAAATGGATTGATACAATAACCCAATGAATGACCAAATAATAAATATTTATATTTGTGTGTGTGTGTGTGTGTGTGTGTGTGTGTGTGTGTGTCTGTGTGTCTGTCTGTCTGTCTGTCTGTCTGTCTGAGGCAAAGAGAGGACAAAGCACATCTTACTTATATACCTGTACATGCATACACCCAAAAAGTACAGTATGTATGTAATGCAATGTATGTAGTATGTATGTATTTGTATGACTGTGGATACATTTTACGCTCACACAATCTGGACAATGGACAAAATAATTGTACTGCACAATACAGTACAGTAAATATGGAGTGGAGAACCAAACTGAAATATAGTATCAACATATAAAAGTAAAACATATAACTGAATTTATCATTAAATATTCTAATGTAATAAATACAATGAAGTGTATTAAACATTCAAACATTTGTACTTAAAAAACCAGTAAAAAGAATTATGATAAATTAATTAATAAATTAGCAAAAAATCCATCATGGTGGACCTTGTGGTCCGATTTACAGTTAATCAACCTTGTGTGAGGGGCTTGGCCTTCCTAAAATTGGCCTTACAGTACCACCATCAGGCTGAATAGGCTCATGATTCTTGGGAAGCACTCATAATTTTCCTTTATTGGGCCAGGTTTCATTTTCTAGCATCCAGCTCAATGCAATCTGAGCTGCTGCAGCAGACAAATAATACTAAACCGGCTCGAGCACAATAGGGTTCTTCAGAATTTGAAAGTCAGAAGAAAATCTCAGAAATCACAAAACAGAATTGTTGGAAACAGCTCGATGGAGCTACAAAATCTGTTTCCACGTAATGTGTTTCCACAGTACAGGGCCAAGAGCTTGTTCAGGAAATTCCAACTGCAGAATCCAGGAGAAATTGAAAAACACAGAATAGTTACAAAAAATCACAATTTATTTATTCAAATATTCACATACAACCTAAAATTATAGGCTTTTATATTTTACCAGCATTTGCCTGGTGGTTGGTGCTGACTTCCCTCCCTCTTTTCTGTTTGCCATGAGATTCCTAAGGAATTGATTATGCCAAAGTATGAACATCTGGCGTCAACAAAGGAGAAAGTGATCAGATTGGCTCTGTTAATGGAATCCCAGTTACACCCACCATCCTGTGATGAAGGTTTACAACTTTTTACACATTTAGTCTAGATGCAACGCTCCACTATCAACCAACATAGCTGTTTTTCAGGTCATAACCACAACATCTGTCATTGGAACAACCTTAGGTGAGTCAAACAATTTAATTTTAGTGTCTTCCATCACAGAGGTAGCACTGTTTTCCTTTACTCTTTTCAGAATGTGTTGAACATTGTATGAAATTGAAATTAAATTTGATCTGCAGTAGACTCCACAATCGTTAACCCACGATATTTGTCCTTTTTCTGACCTGTGGGCGTGTGTGTGCTGGAAGAAGATCACGTGTAAGACGTCTTCTGACATGCTCCTCCCCAAGATGAAACATTGTCCGACACAGGCTATGTATTTTGTTGATAAATTTGTACCTGTTTGTAACCAGGGCAGTAACTCATTAACAATATTACTTTCCCAGTAACTAGTAGTGTAACTGATACATTTTAGTAAGTAGTTACAATATTACTTTTGTTTGCACCCTCTACTGATTTGAAATCCAACAATACAGTCACATCCTTGGATACATTTTTGTAATCGTGGAGGAATCTAGTTTGGAAGATGGAAACATTCAGCAGCTGGAAATATTCCCATTACTTTGATTTTAACAAACAGAACTGGATTTTAATCATCTTAAGTCTGAATTTTGGGGAGAAGGGACATAATGACCAATTTTGTGAAAAGTAGCAGAAAGTAATGAAACTAGTAGTGTAACTAATTACTGTTGAAATGGAGTAATAAGTCGTTATATTACCTTTTAAATGAGTAATGAGTCATATATAAAATTATGTTGAGTAACTAGCCCAACACTGTTTGTAACAAAGAGTGATAATCAAAATATTCAAGTAGTATCTGCAATCTGAATGTCCTTTCAGTCTCATGTTCCCCAGATGTACATGGATGCTCTTGTCTGCAATAAATAATTACTTTCAGATGTACAGTATATACAGAGACTTAAACTCAAACTACTTTTGATGCATTCATCAATACTTTCCATTGTTCTGTGCCCCGAGAACACACATAAGCTAGTGTGCACAAAGGCCAATTTGTGTTTTGTGAGGTGAAATATTAATAAAAATGATGAAAAAGCAATTGAAGGTGAAAACTGTAAAACAATTGTTTATTCATTTCAGAATTTTAAATGTTTTTAAAGTGAATAGATCATTTAGATACTTTATTTTTACTAATACTTTTTATCCCACAACCTTGGGAACACAGAGCATGTTTGCAGTTATTGTTACCTTCACTGATTATCAGATAAAATGATACTGACACTCTCTTTATCTATTCTCTTTGTCTTTCTCTGAATTATTTCAGTTATTTTCAGAGCACTTTGGCTCCAGCCATGCTCTCCTTTTCAACCCCACCCCTTCTCTACCTGAGTCTCCTCCTCTTTCTGTCGTATCACTCCCCTGTTCTCTCCTGTCAGATTGGGACCCGCAGTCAGTGTGAGTCTGCTCCTTTTGTACCAGGTCACAACCTGGTGGGGGAGGGCTTTGACATGGTCACCCTGCAGCATAAAGGAGCCTACATGATAGATGTGAGGACGTTTCTTGACCACAACGGCACCTGTAAACTCTGCTCCAACCCTCTTCAAGGCAACAGGCTGCAGAAAGTAATACATACTGAAATGTGTTTTATTTGCGGACTAGACTAATATTTTTATTTTGGGCAGAATATGAAGTGTTTTTTCTGACTGAAATGAGTTTGATTAACAAATTATCATAAAACTTTAACAAAACCAAACTTATGCTGTTTTGGAAATTGCAGAATAGACACACAAGTAAAAGTGATGATAGATATTATTAATATAGAAAGAGTATATGGAAATATATTTCTGCGTGTGATATTAAGCCTCACGTAAGATATGGCCGAGCAAAATGAGCATTGCAGTTAGGAAAAACAAGGCACATTCAGAATCATAAGGTGTTGCACGCTCTGTATTAGTATCTGTAGTAGTTCACATACTCACATGCAGTCTTTTAAGACACCTTGAAGTTTATGGATATGGTGGGATTCAAAGGTCCAGTGTGTAAGATGCCACTGAATCCTACTTACTGGTCCTTTAATATACTGAATATATAATGTACAAAGCCAAAAAAAATTACTTCCTGGCAACATTCAAAGAATGTTGTGGTATAACTGAGGAAAATAACATTTGAAAAAATGCTGGGTTTGCACCAATCTTAAGAGCAAGCAGAGTAAAGATATTTAACAGTTTGAGAAGATGTACAAAATAAATATATTTGGAGGTACATGAATGAGGATGGTGCCTTGTTTGACTCACAAATGTGATGTGACTTGTGTTGTTTTATTTTTTTATTCTGATTATTTGCTGTTGCTATGAATGTTTTAATTTTGTTTGATTTGTTTGAGATTTGATATGATTGTATGGTGAGCACAAAGAGCTAAGAACTGCTCATTATCCATATTTAACACAAAGTTTACTGATGAAATATAAAAAAGAGGGGCAGGATTTCCCCTTTATGGAGTTAACCATGGTGTTTCTCACTTTCATTCTCAGTTGCCACTCTCTGTGGTGGACTGGCGTATCAGAACGTTCTTCAGTGTTAAGAACAGTGTACACACCTCTGTCAGGTATTGTATTATACAGAATTATATAACTGAATGGGTTCTCAATACAGGCCAGTAAATACATGTGTATATGCATCAGTCTTTACTGAAGTTAAAGGCAACCTTGCCAAAAGGAAGCAGGCACTGTCTGAATCTGCATGGAGGGGCTGTTTGAATGCTATGGGCAGAAAGAGCTTTTACTTTCAAATCAACCCAACAATACATACACGCCCAGACCTGTGACTGATGAACTGAATCGTTCAGATATTTTGCTTCAACTGTTCGATCTCTATCAGCAAATAATTAATGCAGACTTCAGTGAGAGTAAAAAAAGGACCAGTGTGTAGGATTTATTGGCATCTAGTGGTGAAGTTGCAGATTGCAACTGACTGAAACTAACGTTTGCAACTTGTGTAGGAAAAACTGTTTTGGCCATGAAACGTGGCTATCTATTTGTCCCTTCTGGGCTACTGTAGAAATATGGTGGTACAACGTGGCAAACTCCATTGAAGGCAACAGCGATTGTAAATAAAAATGTTTCATGCTAAGGTAATGAAAATACAACGATTCCTATATTCGGGTTATTGTGCACTAATGAAAACATACCAATGAATATTATATTCTATTTCTGCCAATAGAGCCTCCTAGATGTTACACACTGGACCTTTAATTACAGCAGCACAAGAAGTTGTAATTTAGCACTCCATTTTGTTATTGCTGCCTATAGATCAGATTTAATGTCGGTCTCATTTGTAACATGTCTGGTACAGATGCAGCATGAATTATACTACACACAATATCCTAAAAATGACAATATCATTCCCCTTTAGTAAGCATTTGATCTTTTGACTCAAAAGTCAAATTGACCTTAATTCTATTTTTATTTTAATTTGTAAACACAAACTTTAACAACATTTGAAATGAAAGAGCTTTAATGATGATTCTTAAACTGTGTCCACAGCTCATTGGTTGACACTTACACCTCCCTTGAGAGTAAAGACTGGAAGGTAGGAAACATCTTACAACCAATTTGATATGAAATTAACATTTCACAATGTTGTTATTATTATTATTATTATTATTATTATTATTATTATTATTATTATTATAACTTATAGACATGTAGACAATGGATTTTCTTGCTTATTTTTGAGTTGGAATGCCAACTTTTCCCTGACTTTGTTTTGGTGAAACAAGCATATTACATTATATAAATACCTGCAGGTTCTGATCAAAATGGCTGATTTAATAAAATGATGTACCTTTCTGTCTTAATATGATACATAGATTAATGGCTCATTAATCTAGACTAATGTAAGTCCTTAAGGCTAACGCAACAAGAACAAATCAAAGTTTTTATAAATAAATGCTTATGCACTATGTCATGGTGAACATCAAACAGCTCATGAGCTTTTATCTTTTATATTTATTTTTTCAGTTTGGCTTAAATTTCGGTAAGTTTGTCTACCTGGATGTGGGAGGAACACAGTCCAATGTGTATAACTTTGCTTCAGCAAGGACCAGAGAGGACCGCTACCTTTTCAGCCTTCACACCATCACCAGTACCCATTATTGGTAGGATGTGAAGATCCCTACATCACTACAGAAGATTTTCATCCAATCATTTCTGATCATTTCTGTTAGACAATTTACTATTGTGCCTCGTTGTGTCTAGTTACCGTGTGTCAAGGAAACCGCCCATCAGCTCTGAATTCAGGAACGATTTGGCCAGATTGCCAAGTGTCTACACCTCCTCCACCCAGGATCAGTACATTGATCTCATACGTACCTATGGCACACACTACATCCGCAGGGTAGTAACTTTTATTTATAAATTTTTTAGGTAGAAAAAAATAGAAAAATAACTTTTTGGCCAACATCTTACTTCATTTTAGGTTCACCTTGGAGGGCGACTCAAGCGAATCACAGCTACACGAAGCTGTTTGTCATCACTGCTTAAGCTCAGTGGATCTGAGGTACATGTAGCACACACACCTGCGAGTGTGTGTTCAAGACGTATGTTTGTATTTGTATACGCACTCCTTATGCATAGACACAAATCTTGTTGCACTGCTTTGAAAGAGTTGAGTTGAGCACAAATTAACAAACAATACTGTATGTTATGTGTTAATTTGCATAAGCTATTGTTTGATGTTTCTATTCTATTTTAATATTCCTGTATTTAATTATTTAATAAATTAATTGAATTTAGCAAGTCAACCCGAGTGGTGCTGCACACTGCAAAAACTTGAGTGTAAAGATTTTAGACTTTTGGATTTGCTTGCTGTCACAAACATGTTTCTACATTTACATGGGTCTACAATGGTATGTCACTTTAAATGTTGCGGCATTATTTCCTTTCCTTTCGGACTATAAGTATTGTTGAAATGTTGTCCATTTTCCACTGATGATGAATAACTTCTTATTTTCCCTCCTGTCCTCCAGGTTCACTCCTGCTTATCATTTGGTGTCTCTGCAAGCGTAGAGGGGTTCACGTTATCTGGTAACCGACCGTCTTGCAACAGAGTCCTACAGAACCAGGGCTTCTCCAACCTGTACAGCTCTGCTTTTCACCAGCACTACACAGAGATGGCAGGAGGCACTGGTTGGTCGGGGGAGTTTTCATTCACTCATAATGACATAGAGGGATACAGGAATTGGCTGAATAGCCTTAAGGACCACCCGGAAATTGTTGCATTCCGTCTTAGGCCAATGTATGAGCTGGTGCCAGATAAGACTCAGAAGGCAGGGATGAAGGCTGCCATAGAACAGTACTTACTAAACAATGCAAGGACAAGGTCAACCACCGACAGTTGTGCCATGCATTCCAACTGCTGTCCTAAAGTGACCAGGAAAGGAACACTGGTGGTGACCATGGTCCGAGCCTGGAATCTGGAGGGAGATTATCCTCTCTATCAACCTACTGACAGGTGAGTAGAATTAGGTCAGGGATTGAGATCTGAAGATAGTATATCAAACATCAATATTAATAGTTGGGTTTTTTTTCTATTCACAGCTATGCTAGAGTAAAGTGTTGTGGCTCAAATCGAATGACTAGGGTAATCGAGTCAGACAACCCCAGGTGGAATCAGCGTTTCTATCTGGGCGAGGTCAGTAAATCTTCTTCTACAGATGAGCTCAAAAGAACTCTAATCCAATTATTCACTAGTCCACAATTCTAGATTAGATGATTTTGTTATATCAAACCATATGTTTTAGAATGTCATTAACTGTAAAATTCAGAACACTGATACGTAATATATATTGAAAAAATCAATATAGCAGTCAAATACAGCATCAATGACCAGTCTGACCAAACTGGTCGTGTGTTTTTGACCGCTTCAAGACCGTCAGCACTAACTTTGTTAGTAGTACAAGCACAAGTGTTAATGTGTTAAATACTCACCCTTACTTTAGCGGAGAGTGGGAAATGAACTGTTTTGGTGTGACACAGCGAGCACGCAGCCCAAACGACTGCCATCTTAGGCCCATTGTTCTTGTTACTCAGGTTGATCAATAAATCTTAACTCAGCATTTGTATTTCTCAACATTTGATGGTATTTTGAATCTAATTAAATTTTTTTTATGAAGGTGGACCTAAGTAAAAAAGAACTGACAACTGAAGTCTGGGACGAAGACTTGCGATATGATGACCTTCTGCTGTCATGCGATACAGACCTGAAGCAGGGGACACATGAAAGAATCTGTAGAAGAGGCAAAACTGGTTATGAATTCAGCTATACGTTAACATGCTACCGTCACCTGACTGGAGACAAGTGCGACCGTTACAAACCATCTCCACAGTGAGAAATGTATTTTGGGGCCACACTATTCACAAATACAGCTTTAAAGCCTGTAATGGAATTTTATACTGTTTTCCCTTTTGTACTCATTTCCTGCATAACCAAACCTGGTGCTAAATGTTATCAACGATGAAGAAGCAGACAGATGTAGAAAGTTATCTTTGGGATACATAAATATGAATGAACAATTGTGGAAGTGAACAGCTGTGTCTCAAGTGTTAGTGTGTGACAATGCATGTAGAAATACATCTGCTGAACTTCATTACAGTATTGTCTTAGCAGAGAAAACGGAGAATCTTATTTGCAAATGATTTACTGAATATTGCAATAAATACTCTGAGACAGAGCTGCTTTTGTTGAATTCACTTTGTTACAGACATTACAACAACCTGGTGAAGAGGATGGGATTCTGAACTGCTCACTGCAGGGGCTGTGAGCCATGAGAGGACAAACTCTATAATACCTTCCTCAATGACAGCATCACAAATGAGGTCAATGGGTAGAGAAGGAGAGTTGTGGGGGTTGAGACCAGTGCTGGATCACTACAGCAGCAGTTAAAGAAGCATGAAGAAATTTCAGAAAGCAGTGTCTGGGAAAACAATTGTCCTGTGACTCCAGATTTGTGAAATGGTGACTGATTATTACTATTTTGGTTTGGGAAAGACCAGGTAAGTATAGTAAGCGGGGTCCCTCTGAAAAGGACGACTGACTCATTAAAGCAAGGCTTAGTAGTGGGTTGATTCTGTAAAAATGACAGCAAAGTGATGGTGCGACCCAAAGTTGATTTATGTAAGGGAAATATGGAGAAAACTGTTTTTTTTCAATAGGCCAAGGCATGAGAGCAGCCACCACCGTGTACATCATCATTACCATACTCCAGAGTCCAGCAAGAGGTCGAGGCCCTTTGAGCTGAGAACAATCGACCACCAACTAAGTCTTCTGACACCTCTACAGCCCACTCATTCCCCACTAGCCATGGAAACATGAAAAGCCAAGAAACACTGTACTGACTGTGAGACAGGATGTCTGATACACAGTCCATGCTGAAGAGCAAAGGAAAGAGACTGAGCATAAACAATCAGAGAAATGGCAGAATACATCAATTAGTACAAAATGCTATTCTAGCATTAGAAAAGAAAATGTAACTAGAAAGCTAAAAACCTGCATATACTATGCACACAGCTTTTAAAACTCACACTGACACTGCAGCTCTCGGGCCAAACTGTCACAACAAAGTCGGTTATTAAGATCACTGACCTGAGCTCCCCTTTCCAGGAGGTTCATCCACACGATTGGGGTAACTGGGAATACAGTGTGTAAAAAATACACGGCTCAGTGTTATAGATTCCAGATTCAAGAGGTTTATTGTCATATGTACAGAAAGAAACACAGTGGTTTATACGTACAATGAAAATAATAATAATTTAAAGTGTAATTGCACACCCAGATTCTGCTATCTGAATTTCCCTCCAGTTCAGGGAAGATATTGAAATAAATTATTATTAAATTCATATGTCGCAGCAAGCCTTTTGAATTTAAGGCCCAGTGTTTTTCTATTATATGATGGTCTATTATTATTATTAGTAATGGAAACTGCATTACATTTTTAGTAATTGTAAATAATAACCGTTAGGTGCAGCCCTTCTTAAAGTTTAAACAACTTATGGTTAAGGACAACTTAAGGTTTAAGGTAAGGTATATTTGAAGGAAAATTTAGAGGATCATTTCCATTAACAAGATTCAATAGTGAACACACACCAACTGGGTGTGAAACAGAATGTGAAGTATAAGTAATTATTGCAATTGCAGCGTATTAAGGAAGCCACTGAATCTAAAAACATAGATCCAACTCTTACGGCCTGGGCACACAGTACATGTGAGCAGTGTGTGACAGCTCGCAGTGTGTGACAGCTCGCACGCCTGTGGTGTCTTCACAGAGAGAATTTCTGCTGCTGTGCTGCTGCAACCAGCCCTGTCTTAAAAATAAATCATAAAATAAAAGCTTTGGTTGTTGTCAGGTAAAGGTGTGTTCATAAACACCTAGAGTGATTTCTCTGTGTGAACAGAAGGGGGAAGTAAATTTTAGCATGTTTTCGGCTTGACTTCAGCTTGAGGATTTATTCTCATTCTTCAATATAACAAATATTCAACCACTGAGCAACAAAACACCAACGTCAGGTAAATTACCCTATTTTATGGGAGATTACCCCATTCTGTATTCAAATTTGAATCTTCCTTTATTTAGATATTTAATGTGTAATGAGGTGTGTATAAGCAGACAATCCACAGCAAAAGCTACATTTCTAAGTAAATAAGTGTAATGATGTTTAGACTAAGATTTAAAAACTATAAAAAAAAATCTTATTTTGGAGAGAAAAAAACCACCAAAAGTATATTCTGTGTTTAGCTGAATAAAAGTTATAGTCTTTCATCAACAAAAGCTGCGTCATTAGAGGCCATTTTTATAGCCTTACAATTGTTCACTGAGAGTGTTTTATCAAAAGAATTCAATTCAAGTCCCTAGCAACTATTCCAAAATCTGTATTAACTGATTAAATCATATGTATATATATGATCACCTGATATATGTTTCTTGTCTGGACCAACGATGCTGTCTTTGAGTTTGTCTTGTGAGTTTAAGTAAAGATTTTACAGTCCTCGACTGACAAGGATTTTGAGTTGTGGTCAAATTTGTAGAATTTTGGGGTGCCCAGTTAGTTCACCTGGTACAGCTGGCACCCCATGTGCCAGGGCAGAGTCCTTGCTGCAACAGTTCTTTGCCACCATGTATGAATGTGTCTGATGCACCATTCAATGCTCTCAGCATTAAGGCACTATTTAAATGTTATACATTATCCATTCACTGTGAATGCCATCTTATTTCCTCTCCTGTCTTCTAGGTCCACAACTGCTTATCTCTTGGTGTTTCTGTAGGCCTGGGGATGTTGAGTTTATCTGGTAGCCAACAGTCTTGCAACAAAGACCTACAGAACCAGGATCTCACCACCTCATACAGCTCTGGTCTACATCAACACTACACAGCGTTGATAGGAGGCACTGGTTGGTTGGGGGAGTTTTCACTCTCTCACAATGACTCCATGGGTTACAGGAAATGGCTGAATACCCTTAAGGACCACCCGGATATTGTTTCATGCTCCGTTAGGCCAATGTAT